GGGGGCAGGCACGGCTCTGGGCCAGCGCAGGGGGCTGGTAGCAGCCTGCGAGCCCGGCCTGTGCCTTTTCTCTGCCCTCGGCTTAGACTATCTGGCTCTCATCTCAGGGGCATTTTACCTGGACCGTCAGAGTCCACACTGGTGCTTTGACGTCTGTTTTCACGTAGACCCAGCTTAGCGGTGCCCGCGGAGTCCACCGAGTGGTGCACCCTTGTATTGCGGTTGCTGCGCAGTGGAAGGCTTCATGTTTGTTACCTGCTACTCATGTTCCCAGACTTGTGGCACTTAAACTTGAGCTGTGTTTTACACTAGTAATTGAACAGCAGTGTTGAAGCACTAAGTAGTACTAAGTGACGATTCAAGTTAGTTAACGTCTGTGTCGTGTTAGTTCCGGAGGCAGAGGTCAGTGGCTCATCAGCTGCGTACCACACCCAGTGCTCATCACATCACCTGCCGTCCTTACTGCCCATCCCCCAGTTACCCCCCCCACCCCCTCCCTCCAGCAGCCCTCAGTTTGTTCCCTGGAGTTAAGAGTCTCGCGTGGTTTGTCTCCCTCGATGATTGTAAGTTTTCGTGATTTGCTCACCTGCCACAAGTCGTGTTGTGGCTCTCCAGAGCGTGGCCTGTGCGTGGGTGTAGACTGACCGGACCTCAGTCAGGTCCCTGTCAGGGTGTGCTGTGCTTACATCACGGGGGCCTGGGAGTTGGGGCAGTATTTGGATTGTGGGGACAAGCTTACGGAGTACAGTGGGCGCTCAGACCCTGTGGGGCCACAGTGGGCATTCTCTGCTACCTGCGACTGCTGGGAACCCCCTGGAGGGGCTCACTGCTCCCGTCCTGTGCCAGTCGTGGATCCCACGGAATCAAGGCCCCTGTGGGTGCTGGTGCTGGCAGCCCTGGTCATTATGAGGAGACAGGAGGGGCGGGAGCATTGAGGTCGGTATGAGGCGGGCATGGTCTCAGCCTTCTTGGTGGGTAACGGTGGGATGAATGTAGGCCAGAGGCATTTCGAGGATGCTGGGGACCCCTGACCAAATCAGGCATAGTCAAGGGATCTAGTCAGGGGCCAGGGGAGGCCTCTGGAGGTGATGCCACTGAGTCAGGTCTCACAGGATAAGTGGAAGTGAACAGAGGAAGACCGGAGGAGCGGGAGTCCCAAGCGGCCAGTACTGCAGGTGCTGTGTGGGAACTGGGATCTGGGGGGCCCTGAGCAGCCAGCGGGCCTCGAGCAGACGTGGGATGCAGGTCGCTGAGTGTCTGTCAGCAGCCTGTGAGGGGAAAGGCTAGAGACAGGACCCAGTCAGAGAAACTGGTCAGTGAAGGGGCGGGAGAGGCAAGCTCAGGGCTGTTGGGCCGTCTCCGGGTTTCTTGCTGGGCACCCGAGGGCCCCTGGCATTCCCGTTCACCAGGAGGAACAAAGCTGGACGGGAGGGTCTAGCGCTCAGGGCATTCCAGCCCACGGGTCTTCAGGCAGCGCATCCTCCATCAAGATCTGTGACCCTCGCAAGCAGTCAGTCTGCAGAAATGCAGAAATACGTTTTCTAAGCGGTTTCCGTAGATTTTTGTATCTTTATTTCTGGCCCAACCTTTCTTTTGACTGTTACTGAAATTTTTAGAATTTCCTTTGCTTTTTACTCCTTCCTTGGAGGATAGATAATTTGGGAGACTCAACGATCACACAGCATGTGCTTCTTACTTTCAGGCTGGTGGCCATGACCGTCGTGGGTGAAGCAGAGAAGGCCAGTGGCGGCTTCCTGGCCCTGGTGCTGGCCAGAGCCTCTGGCAGCGTGGACGTCCAGTACCTGAAGAGGGCGTGGGCAGCCCCCGCGGGAGACGAGCTGAGGAAGCTGCGGCTACTCTTGCAGGAAGCCCTGTAGAAGGGGGCTGCAAGATAGCGGGGTGTGGTCTTGGGGACGGGGGCAGGGCGGAGTGATGACCCACACGGGAAAGACAGTTGTGTCCGTGTGCATGTACATTGATAGAGGACAGGTATTCTGTATGTAACTTACTTTACAAGAATGTCACCTCAGTGTTCCCAGTGAATAAATCACTGTTTTTTGAATGGAAACAATAAACATTTTAGTGTATGCTGAGCTTGAGAGGAAATAGTCATGTCGATTATGTTCTTCTCTGAGAATATTTCTACTTATTTTTAGAATAGCTTTAAAATATTAGCACATCTATATTTTAAGCAATCTACCATGAAAATGTACTTTAATGAACAATTTTCTTAGTCCTGCCGAAAAGGACATACTCAGGTATAAATTAAATGGAGTTATGTCATTAAACCTCCGCCAACTGTGTTTTCTTAAAACTTTCTTGGGCTTCTTTTGGCATTATTTGAGTGTCAGACACATTTTACATTATGTTTTAGTATTTAAAAATGTCTGTATAAAAATAACCCAAGTAAATAAATGCTCTTGAATTTTGTACTCAGTTATAGCAGAATTTTGGGGTGAGATCCAAGAAAGCCCAGGATGGCCCCCTGGCACAGTGAGGGGTGGGGATGGTCAGCGAGGGGCCAGGTGGGGCTTCGGTCTCTCTGGCCACATGCAGCTCCCACTTAGCCACAGGAAGATCTCACGGCAGGACGAGAGCATCTTTTACCCGGAAGGTAACAAGGGACATTCCAGAGCATTTGGCACCCATGTGTAAATGCGTATGTGTACGACTTGTTCAGTCGATGTGCTCTGCCTCCTTCGCTAGGCCAGGAGCTCTGTGGACAGAGATGTGTCTCTTTCTCACCACTGTCTCTGAGGGCTGTGTGCCTGCCTCGCACACAGTAGGTGCTCAGCCAGTGGTGAAAGAAGCAACTGAGTGAGTTGGCAGTGTGACTCTCACTAATACAGGGCAGAGTCCTACCAGAATGCCATAGTTCACGACTTGTTGTGGAGATTTTAATTCTGGAAACAGGCTAATCCCCCTGGCCCCTCATCTACCAACCCCCCAAGTCCTTATTTGTGAAATTTGACCTAAACTGGAATTGAGAGGAGTCTAACTACTCTAGTAATAACGAGTGACCTCTGGCGACCTCCAGAATAAGATGGCATCAAGTTTGCAGCCATACTAGCTCTTCTAAATCCTCATAGAGGCTCAGGACGCAGAAGGGAAAAAGCATGGCCACCAAAAACTGGCCCGCTGATGAGAACTTCCAGGTGTGAGACCATTGGACTCCACCGAGAAGTGCCAGTGACACCTAGGGATTGAGGTCCTCCCACTGGAGCCTGTGTCTTGGACACAAGACTCTTGCCTGCAAATCCCCCCTCCCCAATCCTCTGGGGGAGCTGCTTCTCCCTTCAGGGGATGCTGCTCTCTGCTTTCAGACAAAGCTCCCCCATGCCCACCACCAGCACCTGCTTCCTGCCATTCACATCGAGACCCCAACACCAGGAAATAAGAGGGAGATAAGTGCCAAAATATAATTTTGCCAAAATTATCTTTGAGGACATGTGGGGACTAGAAGGGTCCTGCCGGCAGTCGTTATTGGAGGAGCCAGTTTTGGGGGGTTTTTCTCTTTGAATAGCTTGTTCAGAGTGTCTAAGAGACATTAAGGAACAGAAGAGGAGGCCCCATCTGAATTCAGTGGGTCTGCACTAGAAAGAGTCTGTTTAGGGCTGGAGGTGTGCACAGCTCTCACCCCAGCGTCTAGAAGGAGGAGGTCCCACTGGACCCTGCTTGTTGGCAACCACAGAGTCTGGACCTTTGAAGGAGGAGTAGACCAAGAGTGATGAATGTAGTGCCGTGAAATACATTACTTGGCAAAGGAAAGAATATTATTCTGAGGACCCAGAAAGGGAGCAGACATCTGGAGACACTTGGCCAGAGGAAGAAAAACAGGCAAGCAGCAAACAACAAAATGATAGGCTATAAGGAGAAACGGCTTCTAGAAAAGGAATAGAAAGCCACAGGAGAAAACAGATTTAACATTAAATGCTAGAGAAAATGTGTAAAGTAAGAGTTAAAATCCACACTGAAGATGACGAATGGGTACTTTCCTTTAGGAATAATGGGTCAGTGACGTACAGACTTACTTGAGGAGTTTCTCAGAATGCAGAGGGACAAATTGATGAAATAGTAAAAGTCCAGTGGTCCAAACTAGGAATTATAGGTGTTTCTAAGGATGAACAATTGGAAAAGAAGTAACAATAATTGTAGGAGGAACTTCCTGAGTTGATAAAAGACCTGAATGTACATGTCAGAAGGCTCACTGGGAGGCCATCCACAGACAGGAACAAGGTCAACATTGCATAAAACATCAACGTGCTTTCAGAATCAAGGAAA